TTAAAAGCTATTCGAAAACTGAGACAAATACAAATGATGAGTTCTACTTTTGAGAAAACTTCATTCTTAAAATCAAGTCTTTGTTTTATAATATTATAATATTAGGAAAACTTTTTAAAATTTCGTTATATCAGAAATAACATTCTGCTTAACTATCGATATTTCTATAGTGTAGAGTATTTTTGTAAATTTCTTTTCAGCATTGAACATAAACACATATCCATCATCTTCATAGTATACCCCTGACATCAAAAATTCCAGTTTTAAGAACCAACTTTGTATACTTATGCGCACAGCGTCCATCTCGTTTTTGATTTGCGTAGGCGTATTGCCCATCAATACCAAATATCGTATGACCGCACGATATTCAACTGATTATTCAACTTTTTATAATAATTGTAGTGCAAGAAAACCAAATTGGGAATTAAGGATAACTCATACACAAATCGACTATGACGAAAAACATAAATGTGTATTTTCCCTCCTGTTATTGCATTTTCCGTTCACCTGTGCCTTTCTAAAATAAGAGCAATAGTTTCTAGGTTTAAGGAAAATAAAAACAATTTTTGGAAAATGAAGAAGAATAGCTCCGAACCATAGAAAATGCTGCTTTATTATGATATATATATTTTTTATTGTTCCCTTGATTATCCAATTTTCATTTTTGAGAAGCAATCGTTTTCACGCTTTTCACCGCTTTTTAAAACTACTGTTTCTAAGCACTTTTTTTCTTAAACCACTTTTTATCTCAGTGACCAAAATGCAAAAACTGCAGCGAAACTCAGGAAGAATTGGCAACTATATCCTTATGGCATTGCACTGAAAGTTCAGTCAAAATAACGCTGGAGCCTTTACTTTAGTTTTTATTGAAGTCTCCAATCGCTCTAATGTAATCACAGTGACTGATTAAGCCGCAGTTTAGTATCGAGTTGTCCTTGCTCTGATTTGTTTCTCAGAGCGAAATCAATCTATTTTTCAGTCTTGCAATGCCCTCTTCAATTGCAGCTGTTCATCTCCCCGAGATGAAATTGTCTTCAAATTTGCAAGCATCCAGCCCCAGAAATTCACAATATTTAAAATTCAAAACGTGTATTGCGAAGTTCGCCACGGACTACAAATATTTTGCTGTGCATATTTCTATTTCTGTGTGTTTCTGCACTCCCCCTTCACGGCCTACTTGTATATTAATATGTGTGTGTATGGATTTGAGGGATGTGGACTGCTCGGATATGTGGGACAGCAGTCAAAAGTGTGCCAGTGCGTCTTCTACCCTTTGGGGGCAACGGCTGAGCAAATGCCACTAAGGATATCTGGGCCACTCGACCACAGTCGGCATGACAGTTGGACGAACGGGTGGACGGACGGTCTGCCGGTCTGCCTGGCAAGGCGTGCCATGTATGCGGGTCGAAAACGAAAGCCCAAAAACAACAACAAAAAGCAAAAACAAAGTACGATACACAGATACGATTCCAGTCCCACTCTTGTAGGTGAAGTGCGACCCAGTCTGTTGGGTCGAGCAGACCGCTGCACGCTGGACATTGGGCGCTGGTCGTTGACCAAGCCGGTTCAGAACTGAGGCCAACTGGCCAACTGGCCAACAGGCCAACAGCGAGAAACACTCAAAAGCTCATTTGCATATTCTGCAAACGGTAACAGGGAAAGTGACTTTGAAAAAATGGGAAATGGGTTCTCGTTTTTAATTCAGTGTTGTTGCTCTACCCTGCGTGCCGTGTTGTTGGTTTTTGTAATTAACAGAGGAATTTCGAAGCGCTTATATAATTTATCGACTTTTATAGTTTTTGGACAACTTTTGACTGTAGTTGGCTGTAGCAGCCGCCATTGTTTAACCTTCTGACCTCGCCACTGGCACGCATATATATAGCATCGATGCTGGTGGTGGTGGTGGCGGCGACTCACATGAGTTATGCATATACTCGAGCGGATAGAGATCTAATTAAGTGATTTATGGCCTCGGCATAATTTCAAGCACACCACTTTTGGATAACACAAGGCAATGCGCCCCTTATCCTCTGCAGGCCAAACTATCTGGCCGTCTCCTGGGCATGGCTCGCATATTTCAATTCCAATGCGCAAATGACCCACACACTCCACCAGATGTGGGGGCTTACATTACTGCAGCTTTGGCGATTTACGAGCTCCGGTTTTGCATAGTTTCAAATGGCCGTTGCAAGTTTCTGCGAGTATAGTATGTGCGGCATGAACAACACAATTTATTCTGGCCGACTCCACCCGCACTACTAGTGGGGTATACAATTCTCCCGCTAGACTTTCAGCGGCCATGAATCATGCGGTTGGGCCATAGACTAGCGAGCCACCATGGGACGCCGCAACCAGAATCAGGAAAATATCAGGCAAATTGTAGACTTCAAGTTCACAATGCCAGTCGTAATTGCAGTCCAGAAGCTTAGCTATTAGTTAAGCAAGTCATGGTCGAAGTCATTGCAAATTAAATATACTCCATTTTGGATAATCTGCATGCTCAAACAATTTATTTGAAAAAAATAAATATTACAGTTAAATGAAGTTGTAATTAATAGAATTTAATTTAAGATGCCAGCAGAAAATGGCCCTCTCCCAAATTCTAGATTCAAGCAACCAACTTAGATACAAAAGATACAGACAGGCCACCAATATATGCGAAAATTCTTGATTATTCTGATTTTGAATGAGCAGTAGATAAATTAATGAGTAGAAGAGGAAGTATGTGAGAATGCTTGCATATGACTCTAATACTGCGCCTATAGAATTGTTGTAACCAGTTAAGAACTTACAATGCCATTAAGAACGCATTTATTTACTTGAAATATTTGATCACTTTCCGAAACTACTGCTAATACTGTTCACTAAGCCGTTGGATAGTTGATAGTACTTATATGTTCAGATTGTATATAGGGTGGTTGATATAGTGTACTTTTTGTCTATATTGTAGTTTCTTTTTAAAAATTCCAAAAGAAGAACAAAAATCCATTTGTACGGTTGTCCGTTTATGCGAAAGCGCTGGTTTTCCTATTATATCTGGAACACGATTTCCTTCATGTGGCTGCCTCGGAAAGATTTGCAGTAGCGCTTCCTGTTTAGCCAAGGCCTTGGTGATGGTTTCTGGATTTATCTGTGGCTCCGATGTGGCCAATAGACATCGCCTTGACGGCTGATATTGAAAATATGTGTTCTGAATTTATTGAGGAAGGTATGTTGGGCTGAAGTATAAATATTTTCAATGTTTTTGGTTGTAATATTCGAATGGTTTCGGATTGACACTTCTGGAGCAGTGCGAAACGAACTTGTTATAAGATTTAGATGCTATGTGGTCCATTTGAACAATCGAACATACCCGTATTTATGTGTGTTTGGAATCAATTTGTTATTTCAAAATGCAGTTTTTGACACTTTACCGGATAAAAGGATTAGTTAGTTAGAACATCTTTACTATCCAATTCTGATTTTATTTTCCCCATGGTGCCGGAAAGTGGGCTGAAGCAGAGCAACCCGTTAAATGTAACTCCCAGAGTCCCGTTTTGGCAACAGAATGTATGCACATTTTATTGAGCAACATGGAAAAATGGTTCACATGTTGTTTTGCTGGTGCTTTTAGTGTTGGCACAACAACATGTCCAAAAGTGTTTTATGGCAGTTGTGGGTGCTCTCAAGAGGGTACTTCGGGCCTGTCCAGCGTCCAGAGTGCAGCGTGGAGCGTGCAGCGTGGAGCGTGCAGTGTGCAGCAGTGCGGGATCAGGGACTGCGGCACTCGCCGCTCTTGTTCTACATACGAGTCGACAACCACTTGGAATATAAGAGAGAAAATGGATACGGATTTCAAAAGTGCTTAGCTGAAGTCTGGGCCCACAGCACAACCCCGCGAACAGAGCCGCATATATTTTGGACTAGCACGAAAGCCTCGGCTAATTGCATTTAGAGGGTTTTGTTCATCCGGTCGTGTCAATGAACCGCAGTCATTAGCGAAAACAACAGCAAGAGCAACAGCAATCGCTACAAGGGCAGGCAGAAGCAGTTCAAAGTCAAAAAGTCAATTAACTGACCGACAGACATGTGCCATCTTTAAATACTATATCGGATACGGAATGGAGTCTTCTGCTTAGCCGCGACTCTCGACCGGGGCCTGGTGGAGGGCTGAAGTGGAAATCTCGTTAAAAGTCAATAACAGACGCCATTAAATGCACATGAAAATGAAATGAAAATGGCACGGGCATGGGTCTGAGTTGCATGGGCCTGAGGCTGGTGTTGTGGGCAGCAGACTGAGGACAGCGGCACGCGAACAGCCGCCAGAGATGCTCACTTGAGGGAAATGAATGGCAGCCGCGAAGCGTGCAACTCATTTTCGTGTTTCAATTTTCGTTGTACAAGTTGGATCGACATCGAAGGGGTTCAAGTTCAATGGCATTTCTACTCAATTATCGATACACAAGATATGGAAATTGAAAATGAGACTGTGCGGCGGAAGGCATACGCTGACCAACAACATGATATATGGTTGGGATCTAATTTTGTTGCCATTACCACTCCCCTTTAATGTATAAACACTCTGCAATCGACCATTTGAACACTTTTGTTGGGATTTCCACAAGTTAGACTGATATTTTAGCGTGGCCTTAAATTAAAGGGAATGCTTCGAATCATTTTACTATGGAAGATGATTGTCTTGTACCTCTTTTTCGCTTAAAAATGTAATCTAATGGGATTATCTTGAAAGCGTATGGATACTGAAGCGCCATATTTCATTTTTTTTTTAAATCGTCTAAGAATAATTCGTTCATTTTTTCTAAATGTTCGCCTACTTATAACAGCTAACGTTTTATTGAAAAACTAAACTGATACTCCAAAGTGGTTATCAAAGGAAAGCTTTGGAATTTAAAACAAAGTGAGGCGGTCGCTAACTTTCAAACATCGCATCTACACATGGGAAATATTTTCATTACAGTCTCTTGTCTTACACTGAACACATCTCAAAGGCGAAAGCAAGAATATAGCATCTACAACAACACATTTAATTCAATAAATCGATCTATTCTTTTTGGCATATTTTCAGTACTCTTCAAACGACTGTCTCAAGATGAATATGGGACGCATTTTGGAGGATGTGATCCGCAAGAACTCGGCCAATACGGATCGGATCACAGCCGAGAACACAATCGGCTATGTTGTGGCCGAGAACAGCACAGGAGTTGTGGCCGAGTCCTCGTTCGACAACACCAGTGCTCAAGCGATTGTGAAACACATGCATGGAGTCCTTGTGGCTGCAGCCCAGAGCATGGTCCGGGACCTGGACCCTCCCAATAAGCTCTGCTATATGCGTGTGGCCACGCGCAAATTTGAGTATCTGATCGCTCCCGAGGAGGTTTTCACCATAACAGTGCTGCAGTGATTCGCAACTGTAAATGAAGTTGGAACGGAGTCCGAAGCTCTGGCCCAAAACCCAAATATTGTTCCTCTCCTTGTTGAAACAGTTTTCCTCAATGCGTGTGCGCATGTTTGTGTGTGTGTGTGTGTGTGTGTGTGTGTGTGTGTGTGTGTGTGTGTGTGTGTATGTGTGTAATGAAATTTACTTAAGTCTAATAAAAGGGTGACAGTGACACCAAATACTCAGCAAGCGGCTTCATTTGGGGAGGGGGGTATGGAAATGGAAAATCGCGGGCAGAAGCTGCGCAGCTTTTATCTTAATTCTGGCAACAGCGACAAGGCCAGAGGCACGGTTATGGTTATAGGGTGCTGAAGATGGAGGATGGTTTGAAAAGACCCAAGTCAACAAAGCCGGCAAAGCAGAATAAATCGGCTGGCTGAAAGTCCCTTATAACACCCGAGCGACGTCTGATTATTTACGACATGGCTTCATCGGGCGATGCTTACAAATTTATCTATGAGAATGTGGCATTTTAATGCGATAATTCAAAAGATTTACTTCTGTCAACATGACCATTTTGTATTGCAGGCAGCGGCTGACAAACACACACACACACACACACACACACACATGGACACATGGACACAAAGGGTCGCACTGGCACAAGGGTGGAAATGGCCTTTGACCTTTTTGCTTCTACTGCGAGTGCTCGTTCGTTTGTTTTTCCATCTTGCATGGATGCTGCTGCTATTTTAATTTAAAATGGCAGAACTCGTAACTCATTTTTACGGTCTCTCCCCCCTGCCAACTGTTCTCACTGTGTGTATGGGTGTGTGCCTGTCTGTGTGTTTGTGTGTATGTGTGTGTTGGTCTCGAACTTGTCCTATTTTTACAGAGCCGCCAACCAGGGTTGTTAGCCGTTACTTATCTGCCTGTTTTTTAGCCAGGCATCATAATCACTAGGCAGCTCCGCTGCGCCTGCGATTCAGACTCGGACTGGGCGTCGGCGTCGGCCTCGAACTGGGACCGGGACCGGGACCGGGACTCGTCGACGAAGACGCTCCTGGGGTGCGCTTCACATTCAATTTTAAAGGCATTGCTCCATTATGTGCTGTCGTTTTGTGGTGTGTGGCATGAAATATGTGTACACTATACTCCTTAAAAATAGACATTCGGAGAAAGACTATTCAGGCTCAACACGCAGCAGCAGGAGTAGAAGGAGTCGTAGCCGCAGCCGTTGCCAACTGCTCTTTCAAAAACTTTTCCACATTTTCTTCCCCCTTGGCCATTGTGCGATGGCAGCACTCACGGTGGCAAGGTCAGAATCGACTATACGCCATTTCATACGGCGTGAAATGAAATTAATCCATGGTCCATTCAGCTGACGACTTCATTTCAAGAACTTGTCTGCCACCCTTCTGAGGATGCGCGTCGTGCGAAACTCAGCATGGAAGATGGCGGCATTAAATTAGAAACACTTTGAATCAAATCCAAATTAAACGTTTTCTTTACACGTTCCCTTTTCTTATACGAACTGCCGTGCTATTTCTGGCATTAGCAAATGAATGTTCCCCTTTCCTGCCTCATATGTAGATATGTATTTGAATATGTATACGTGCATATGTACGTATGTATGTACATCCGTACGTACAAGTATGTACGGAATATGGGCATAAGTGGCTTTGCGTCGAGGCACGAAAATGCGCGCTCGTTGAATTTAATTAAGTTGTGCGGCGAACCTGAAAGAGGAACAACTACATATTTGTATATTAATATATTGCAGCCAAACTGGTTTGGAAGAGGCTCTTCATGCATACATGTATGTAAGTATTCACTTGGACAGAAGCGATATTACTTGTACATTCGTGTAAATATTCTTCGAGAATTCAGGAAAAATTCATGTATAATAGAATTTAACTTAATATTTTGTTTAGTTTCAACAAGAAGAGTTCACTATTGACGAAAGTTCGGACAGTGGCACAGCATCAGCCGTCTACATCCTGTCTGGGGATTTCCCCACTAGTTATATATTGTAAAATCGGAAAATACTTTTAACACATATTGCAATTTAACTTTAGCTAGCAACCCATTTCCATACTTTATTCCGCAAGTGATGATATATTTCTAATGTTATATTATGTAATGTCATTATATTATTTTTCAGTGCTATACAAGTACATTAGGGAAATCCGATCTACTGCAAAAAAGAACTGTTCTGTTCCAGCCTGTATTCGATTAAAGATGATTTTTTTAGATATCTCTCCATTAGTATCTTGTAATGGAGTAAAGTATAAACATTGATGTTTATAAACTCTTCCAACAAAACAACTTACATATGTAATTTTTCCTTTTCTTTTTCTGTTTTCCTCTTCCAGTGTATTTAACTACGATTTATGATTATAGGGGTGTTTTAACTTACGTTCAAGTTTAAACAAATAAATAAACTGTATTGTAAAAGATCATTACAAAGAGTAAATAAATGGAAAATAACAGTTTTTCATTTTCTATGGGTATGGCGTCATGAAACTACTTCATTATAAAATCACATCCATAATATATGTTTATAAGTATTACCACCAACATAAAGACAATTATTCTCAGTGTTGACACAAATCAACAAAAACAAGACTTTTCGAAATAATAATTGACTTCCTTTTTTGGACTGTTCTAAGCTGTGAGCGTTCAATTACATACATACGTACTTATGTATGTTTGCTAAAATAAACTGTATTCAATATTCAATATTTTATAAATAAGTGTATTTATAATATGTATGAACTATATTAAAATAAGGTACAGAAGAAGCTATGGGAATAAATATTCGATGTACACGCCCAACGTGCCTACAGAGGTCATTCGAAAGGCCAAGCCCATCTCACGAGTGGAAAAGAAACAGCAAAACTAACAGACGCAACAACATTTTCCCTGCTTCTGCTCGCGAGTCGTTGTACAACGACGAAAACCCGATTCAATTGGAGTTGAGACTCGAAGCGATGCGGACGTCGTATCTGTTCGCTTGCGCGCAAAGGAATAAAAGAAATAAAAGTACATAATATACAAAAATTTAAATCTAAATTAAATTAATTGCCTCTTCGTTTACGCTGTTTGATCCGTTATAGACTATTAAGTTGCCAATCAACACGTGATGCAATTTTAGAATGTTATTGTGCAGAAATTTAATTTGTAAAGTTTCTTATATATCAAATATATTTGTGATATTGGTACACAATTTCGATTAAGCTATGTATATGTGAGAACAGAAATGGATAGAATTACAAGAGAATAGAAAGGGAAAGCTAAAATTGCGTAGCAGTTAGTTAAAAAGACATATGAAAAATACTAATAAATGAAAAAAATATTAAATACCATTTGTTGTGCGATAGAGGGCAGGAATCAAACGCCATCTACTGGCGAACTGCAATGTAACTCCTTTATGTTAAGTTAACATACTGCAGTATGGATAACAGTGCAGTAGTACACCGACGCTGCTCACACTAAACATGCCCATGAAAGGTGCGTCTAGCGCCATCTGTCAATAAAATCACGTAACTAAAATGTGTATTTCTGTACAATTCATGGTTAAGGGATACCTACTATAATTTTAAATAACTTATTAAAACATTACTCCTACTCCAACTTGTAAATGATTTAGCAATGAGATCCGACACTGAAGACTTTGCCCCACATTAATGGTTATACCAAAAAACTTGCCAACATCCAATTTGATCTTAATATCTCGATTTTGTTCATCCAATGATCTTATTACCCTTCTTTTTTAACCAGATCGTTCCTACAACAGATTTATTATACTGTACTCTGATTTCAATTTCAGGTGTGTATTGTAGGTAGGTCGGTATTGTAGGTGTATTGTAACATTTCATAGAACTACATTGATTTTCATATCCGGCTGGGTTTTAGAAACGATCTGCTTATCCCTACACTTACACCTAACTCTCTGACCCAAGAAGTCAAAGAAGATGAACTTAGAGTACGTTCCATTTTTGATACATTTTATGTTGCCTAGAAAAGCATTCAATGCAATTTACCTTCATATTTTCATTCACAGATCTATGTGCGTAATTCTAGCCTTTTTATATACTTCGGCTAAACGTATTAGCAAGCCTTGAAAATAATTATACGTCGTATTAAAGATAACATTACTTATTTATAATATTGTATGTGTATGAACATGTTCATACAAACATATGTTCAATAATTAAATTGCACAATAATTGAAAAGCAAGGTTGATGGAGAGCTTACTAACATGTATGGATCGGCTAGTCATTCTGAATACATTATTTGTACATACAAGTATACATATGTCTGGAAATACATGGTCCATACTTATACATATATGGATATTTACAGTCTGATCTACTTCCTTCCAACTCATCTCCACTATCGTTAATTAGGCTTTATTAAACGTGGGGCGAAAGAATTTCTAATTTTGTGTACGGCTTATAATATTGCAGTATGTCCGGTGCCCGCAATATTCAATACATAAAGATCGTATTACATATGTTCTCTTAATTTTTTTTAGTAGGAAAATAGTGAATATACAATTTCTCTTGCTTACGTGGTCTTGGATGGAGTAGAACCGACCTTTTACCACCGTATTTTCATAGGCTACAACTTAGATCTTCCTTCACTTGCTAATTTTTTAGGTGTGGTCTTATACATAAACTAATCATTGGTGAAATCGAGTCTTCAGTGTTTGTTAGTCAAATTTACATTGCTATTCCCCAAAGATCTACAAGCTTACATCGCTGTACCACCAGCTATGCTTTGCATAATTCTTTTCGGGTTCTTTATAACAATTATTAACAATCAAATTAGTCATCTCTTTGGCCCTGAGAGCTCTGCGAATTTGATTAGACTAAAAATACAGAACTTTTTAAGGGCAGACTACAATCTATTTAGAAGATTAAAATTATTTTAATATAAATTTAAAATATTATAATTTTTTAACATTTTAAATTTAAATTGAAAAAGACAATCAGCTTTGAAAAAAATCTGTCAGCTTTGACAAAAATCTGTGTAATATTACGTAGATTGTAAAAATTACTCAATAAATAACAAAGTCAAACTCGAATTTTCCGAATCGTTACTTATGCTCATATGTACAAGTATGTATATGTATATATACATACATGC